TTATCTCTGTAGTTGGGTGTACTTTCAAACAAACACTGTTCCCTCAGCTAATGACACTGCAGGCTATCAGGACTTCACCACAATCCTCCAGTCCTTCAGTCAATACCACACAGCATAAGGTTATGCAAAGCATGTAGAAGGCTCAGTCAGCATCCTTTTTCCACTCTGTATCTATGAAGACAACTAAGCAAGATTAGCAATGTTTTGTATACGTGTTCAGAAGATGATGATCCTACTGGCAGGAAAGAGCAACAAAACAAAACAGAAGTGTATCTCTGAGACAGTGTATGCAATGTGCCCAAACTGAACTCCAAAGGATATTTGAGGATTGTGTATGGTAGCCCTAAATTCATACACTCCACGTGAACACTGAGTCTTAAGTACCATACAAGTCAATGCATAACTAAATATAATTAAAATGCACCAAGTAACACAATTTATTGATCTTTCACACAACTTTTTAGTTACCAGCAACCAGGGGATGCACATCTGCATCAAAAGAAAGTCCCAGATGCTAAATTTCATGCCTGTGAGTTGTCCTCTATTGCGACCATTGAGAAATTAAGTCCTTCCTTCACGCTGTCTTTCTGCTTTCATCATTCTGCCTAGCATCACGATGTGAGAAACAATTAGTGAGAAGCAATCGAAGCAAAAAGGAACATGTACCTTCTGTGGAAGCTGCTGCTGAGCAGTTTGCTGCTGTTGCATGACCTTGGGAATAGCAGCTGAGGGCTCCTGTGCTTTGCCCTCCTTGAACTCGCTGACTTTGTGCCGGTAGTACGCATGGTAAGGATCGTTGGGATTCAAGAAATTGAACTTAGGGTTATTTATTTCATTCTGACGAATTCGAGCTTCAAATTCTGGACCATTTCTGCAGGGTGGAAAAATAAGTTTAGATAATAGGTATCAACTCAAGCATAGAAGCCCATTTCTTTCATAGCAGGCTGTGTTCATACATCTGCCTTCCAGCAGGCAAGTTTCTCTCCTGTGTGGAAGAAGTTTACCTCTCCCTACCTCTAAATAACCCACACCCAGCACAGCAGCCAGTCACACACATATAGTTATGTGTACATGAGCTCATTTAGTCTTCAGCATTTCACAGCAAACATTTCTTAGGACAGTTAAAAACTTCCCATTCCACTGGGAATACTCAAATCAAACATGACTGGATGATGACATGGTTTATTGGAAGATATTCACGAGCTCCTTACTAGACTACCAAGCTCTTAAAACTAGTTTCGTTTCAAGAAGGTTCAGCTAAAGAAAAGGTAGGTAATCACCAGCCTGCTCAGAGATGGACCACACTGGAGAGCTCCATTGCTGCATTTAGGAGAGCCAGTTTTAGCTCCTCTACTCCCACCCGAAGTTAACAGCTACTTATTTTCTGAGGGGAGATTAAGAAAGCTAAAAGCTTGCTGCAGCATGCTTCCCTTCATACTCTCTGGCCCTGTTTAGGCACTAAGTCTCTCCCAGAAGAAGATGTTTCTACAATAGGAGAGGATAAACAAAGTTTCTTCCTTATCTTCAAAGCAAACTCAGCCTCCTCAGCAGCATTTTGGAGATCAGTTACACAGCAAGTGTCTCTGACCACACCATCATTTAGTGATTGCCTTAAACCAGCAGTTCCATTTTAGCAATGTGGAAGCAGACAGCGTCCATCCTGCCTGGATGCCACGCAGAATTCACATAGCCAGCTGAGGAATTCACTTCCTGTGCTATTTGTACTCGGCCAGAAAGACTGAGATCCAGTCCCTTGATACCCCACATAGCATGAAGGCAGCCAGAAATACTTCAGCATTTTAAGAACATAGAAGAAGACGGCCAGGCCAACAGCAGCAGCTTGTGTTTGCACGTTGATAACAGGAGGAAAAAGCCCGAATGAGTAAAACACACCAAACTTTCAGGTTTCTCCCCCACCTATGACATCTATAGTTGTGATCATCAACCTGCTAACCAAAACATGCCACGCACATCACGGGCAGCTTGCCTACCCCAGACCTCTCCCTGAGAACATGCACTTCTACCCCCTGGGCTTTAGAGGCGGAGAGACATCGGAGTCAGCATGCTCCAGAGGCTGGGGCACCTCATGGAACTGTAGGCAAATAAGGATGGGACTGAGCCTTGGGAATCCAGCATACCCTAAAAGAGGTGACTGCCTACACATTGTAAAATAGAGTGAAAATAAATTAATGACTTCTTTGGCTCACTCATTGAGTGAAGTGCTAGTAACAAGGCTTCCTTTCCTTTCTACCTGGAACTTTGTTTGCCCTTCAGGCCATTTTAAAAAGAATTTAATTACTACCACAGCTTTTCTAGCAAAGCACACGTTACATCTCTAAGAAGACAACTGCTGCCTCTTTTCTACAACCTCTCTGGTACAAATTCAATCCTTGAAACCTCTATGGAACGCTGTGGGACTGTGACCAGTTTCAGCTTCTGGAGACAGACAGTAGCACTGGGAGGTGAGAGGCAGAAGAATCCCACGGAAGACAAGACAACACTCGTGCTGTTTACCTGGCTACGAAGCTGGCAGTCTTGTCAACAATATTCCTGACCTCAGGAGGAGGATAAATAATTCCCACCACAGGCTTGGCTGGTGCTGCTTCCTCTTTTGGCTCCTCTTCTGGCTGCAATAAAAACATTTTTCTTACAGTCTTTTACACTGTTACCTCCTAAGTCGAAGAATATTCCTGTACCACCACCTCACCATCTCTGGAAGATACCTTTCACTCCGCAATATTTGCAACTAGTCAAGACAGTAAATTCAGATTAAATCTAGCCTGGTAACAAGAACAGGGACTACAAATGATCTCAAATATCACATTATACATCAGCATCAGAGTGTGAAAGCACAGCCTGGTAGTTTTCAAACATACACCAGGTTTATTTTTAGTGAGTTGAGCTGTAAAATTCACTTCCCTCTCTCTATCAGCTTCCTCATCTGCACCTGGAGTAACAGACCTAAGGTACCTTAGTGAGCTGTTCTGAAATACCATGCTGAGAGAGTGCTCTGTAAGAATTAAGTACTCCAAACAGCAACTCCTGCAGTGGACAGAACTGCCTATTCTCCTCAGTCCCCAAAGCACTGAATTTTCCTGGCACCAAGACACGGTTTAACAATCTGAATCTGCAGTCCTGCAAGGCAGCAGCACTCCCCAGCTTCCCAGGCAGGGAGATGGTGTTTATCAGCCTGTCAAGGGCACCTGCTGCGGGGGCTGCTGCAGAGAGGCAAGCAGGAAGGCTGTCCCACGGGAACCAAACAACTCTTCCCAGTGTTTCTGCTCTTTCAGCTTCAATCCAGTGCAAGTTTATAGATGCTGAGCCAAGATGTAGCAAAGCGTGCCTCTAACACCACACATAGGAATAATTCAGCACTGCTGGACAGCTCTGGAAGTTAAGAGCATTGCAGGCTGGATATGTGGATAAATTTCTTTTCAGAAAGAGCAGTGCTGCACTGGCACAGCTGCCCAGGCAACAGTGGAGTCACTGCCCCTGGAAGCTTTCAAGAAATGTGTGCATGTGGCACAGAGGGATGTGGTCAGTGGGCACAGTGGGGTGGGGTTGGACTAGATGATCTCAGTGGTCTTTTCCAACCTTAATGATTCTACGATTCCTAATGGTCTGCAGGGTTACCAGAAATGGGAATCTAAGTGCTCAAACCAACATTAAATAACACACAGCTTCCCATCCTACTAAGGCTGCATTAAAGACTTTCCCATAGCTGAGAAGAAATCAGCAGGGTGTTTTCCTCTCTGCAGCTGTGGGAGGACCTGAACCACAGCCCCAACACTCTCCCGAGGGCAGCTCTGCCTTTCAATGCAGCCAGCTGCAGTTCTTTGCAGGATGCTGAAGGTGCCTCCCTTCCCTCACAGCACAGCTTTCCCAGAACAGACACACGGGACATCTTTATAATCACTGAAAGCCTGGCAGGTTGTTACCGCTTGTTAATTCACTGAAAGCTTCAAGAGATAAACTTTCAATCGGGCTGCATATTAGGAAATATTTCTTTTCCAAAGAGTGGTGCTATGGTAGCACAGCTGCCCAGGCAGCGGTGGGGTCGCTATCTCTGGAGGTGTTACAGAACTATGGAGCTGTGGCACTGAGGGATGTGGGCAGGGGGCACGGTGGGGGTGGGCTGAGGTTGGACCTTGGATCCAAGGGATCTTTTCCAACCTTAATGATCTAAGAAGCAAATTAAGAGGAAGACACAACGACTCCTTTCAACTTTCATTCCCACTTCTTCCAAACAGCAAATAGCATTAAGCCCAGGGATGTCTGATCACCCAGCGCCGTGTCGCCTCGCTGCGATGCCGCAGAGCTGTGGGCAGCCGGGAGGCCGAGGGACAGGGCCGTGCACGGGGACAGGGCCGCCGCTGCAGGCCTCGCTAACCCCGCCCGCGCAGTTCGCAGGCCCGAAGCCCCCCGGCCTCCCCTCAGCGCGGCTCTTACCGGTTTGCTCTCCGCGGGAGGCGCTGGCTGCGCCGGAGGCCCGGCCTGCACGGGACCGGCCGGCATGGCGCTGCTCAGGATCTCTCGGTAAAGGCCGCAAAGAAAGGGGCAGCGCCGCTCACAAAATGGCGGCCGGGCGCCTTAAACTGCGCACGCGCGCCGGAAGTGACGCACCGCTCCGTGGCAGGAAGGGGAGGGCAGAGGGGGGACGCGCATACGCCGAAGGTTGTTCCGCTCGCGCACGTGGGGCGCAGGGGCAGCGGGCGGAGCTGCGCATAGCGGGGCGGGGCGTTGCCATGGCAGCGGGTGCGGCGCCGCGGCCTATGCCCAGCCGCCGGCCCTACATCCTCACCTGTCCCCGGTTGGCCCCTTCCGGCGTCCCGGCTCCCTCAGTGCCCCCACCGCTGCTGCTTGCCCTCCTCAGGCACCCCTCACCCCAAATCTTCCAGCCCTGGGGACGCAGCACCTGTCCCCTCCATTCCCCTGGCAGCCCTTTGGTGTCACCCACGATTCGTTTTTAGCACTGCCCACCTTTGCCCCACAGAGACTGTCCGTCCATCTGTCCATCTGTCCGTCCACCCAGCCTCGTCCTGCAGCATGGCACACCTCCTGGGTCACCCTGGCTGCATGGCGAGCCTGCAGGCCGACCTGAGAGACCTGCAGGGAGCCATCGCTGACGTCACCTCCCGCACTGGCCCAGCACGCTTCCCCTCCTGGAAGTTCCCCAACAAAGTGTCCTGTGAGCTGGATCTGGTGGTGTTGCTGGAGAGGTACAGCCACGCCGAGGGCGACCCCGAGTTCAGCCAGCACGCACATGTGGTACTGCTGGAGCTGGTGATAGACAGGTGAGCGGGCAGAGCACCCTGCAAAAAGCAGCTGGGGCACAGCGGCTCTTTCCCCATGGAGGGAAGATGTCTGGCCTGTCTGATGTGGACAAGTGGTTTGGGCAGCGGGCTGGAACTGGGTGGTAACTTCAGCCCCTTGGAGTTACATCCTGGTGCTGCAGGGGGATTTAATCCTTCCCGGTCTTGTTCCAGGCCTGAGGGTTATACATACACTGAAATCCAGCCTCCTTTGCTGCCGTGCTGGATTTCAGACTCACTGCTCTGTTAAATGCCAAGGGCCTTCTTCTCGTTACAAATATTTTATTCCTCTAAGCTGTGTTTCTTTTCCACAAAGGCTGCTGCTGCTGCTGCAGAGCTTCACGGGCTATGCAGAAAACCTGCTCAGCGAGCGAGCTGTGCCCCCAGCGGAGGCAGTGGGACCCTGCATGTCGGCGGGGCTGACGGTGAGGAGGTACTGGCACAGCATGCTGCGACTGGGAGCCTGCTACCAGCAGCTTCAGATTGAGGTGGGACATACAAGGGTGTGCGGGCACTTGGAGCCAAGCACTGGGCTCACAGCAATGGCTCAACAGCCACACAATTTGGAAGATATGCCAGGCATGCCCATGGCACGGGGCTGATGTTGCAGTCTTTCTCTGAGATGCCATGGTACATGTAGTGGCTGCTCCAGATGCACTCCCTGACTGTGACCTCCAGGCTTCCACCAGGGTTTTGGGACTGGGGAGCCTGGCTGCTCTTGTTGCTTGGAAAAAATATTCTCACCTTACCAATGTGCTACCTCTGTGGCTCTGCTGACCCACACTGCGTGGGGCTGAGGTGGCCTAAATCAGTGAAATGATTTGTGGTAAAAATGCCATGCCTCTCCCCTGTGTTTTATTTTCAAAATGATGCCTTTTGTGGCATAGTGTCAGAATAATTCATCTCACATAGCCAGGAGACAGTACAGTGAGGTGTGACAGAAGGGAAAATAACAAAAACAAGAGCCAGGGAGGAAGTTCTGCTGCAGCAGCCTTGTGAAACCACAGCTCTGCTATCTAGCAGGCAGTGACCAAAAAGCTACCTGTGAGCTTAAGAAATTCAGTTCCCTTGTGCCAGGCAGAACCAACGGTAACCCATGCTGTGTATAAACATCATTTTGCTTACAGGGCACCTGCTTTCATGGTAACATAATAAACAGTGAACCCTGAGCACTGTACTCCAGCAACCTCTGAGGGTGCACGTTCTGACCTTGTAGCTTCTTGGCTGCACTGATATCTTGTCCCCATCCTTCATATCTCTGCATTCAGCTCTCCTGAATTGTTTGCTGATAATGGATCACAGAATCACAGAATCACAGAATCACAAGGTTGGAAACGACCTGCAAGATCATCTAGTCCAACCCCCCTCCCATTCCTATCAGTACCACAAGCACTAAACCACATCTCGCAGCTCCTCATCCAGGCGCCTCTTGAACACTGCCAGGGACGGCGACTCCACCACCTCCCTGTGCAGCCATTGCAGTGCCTGACCACCCTTTGAGAGAAAAAGTTTCTCCTAACATCCAACCTAAACCTCCTCTGGTACAACTTCTGGCCGTTTCCTCGGGTTCTACTATTTGCCTGGGAGAAGAGGCCAGACCCTTTTGTACCACAACCTCCCTTCATGCAGTTGTACAGTGCAGTGAGGTCTCCCCTGAGCCTCCTCTTCTCCACACTGAACAATCCCAGCTCCCTCAGCCGCTCCTCATAAGGTTTGTGCTCCAGACCCCTCACCAGTTTCGTTGCCCTTCTCTGGACACGTTCCAGGGCCTCAATGTCTTTCTTGTAGTGAGGGGCCCAAAACTGAACACAGCACTCGAGGTGCGGCCTCACCAGTGCTGAGTACAGGGGATGATCACCTCCCTGCTCCTGCTGGCCACACCATTTCTAATGCAGGCCAGGATGCCGTTGGCCCTCTTGGCCACCTGGGCACACTGTGGGCTCATGTTCAGCCGAGCATCAACCAACACCCCCAGGTCCCTTTCCCCTTCACACTCATCCAGCCACTCATCCCCAAGCCTGTAACGCTGCATGGGGTTGTTGTGGCCAAAGTGCAGAACCCGACACTTGGCCTTGTTGAACCTCATCCCATTCACCTCAGCCCAGTGATCCAGCTGATCTAGATCCCTCCGCAGGGCCTCCCTGCCCTCAGGCAGATCGACGCCACTTCCCAACTTGGTGTCATCTGCAAACTTACTCAGGGTGCACTCAATGCCTTCATCTAAGTCGTCAATGAAGATATTAAACAGGATGGGCCCCAGTACCGACCCCTGGGGGACACCACTTGTAACAGGTCTCCAGCTAGTCTTCACTCCATTGACCACCACTCGTTGAGCACGGCCCTCCAGCCAGTTCCTTATCCAATGGAGGGTAAAACTGTCCAAGCCACGGGCAGCCAGTTTCCGCAGAAGGATACTGTGAGAGACCATGTCAAAGGCTTTGCTGAAGTCTAGGTAGATGACATCAACTGCCTTTCCCTCATCTACCAGTCTGGTCACCCAGTCGTAGAAGGAGATGAGGTTCAGTCTGGGCTCTATGTTTGTGTCCTGTGCTCTTTTCACCAGAAGAAGACTTGCAGGAAGGATACCGCTGCACTGCAATCTACCTCTGAGGCTGAGAGAACTGCAAAGGAATGCTTGAAGGACTGCTTGCCATCTACTTCAGAGTCAAGCACACCCCCAGGTGCTGCCCAACCCAGCTCCCCGTGGCAGGCTGTCAGCAATACCTCAGGCAGCTCCCAGCCCAGGTCTGCATGGAGCACTGAGGGCATCTGCAGCATCCATACACAGGCAGCAGAGCCTCCAGCACCCTGTGACACCTGTGACAGCTTCCAGGCTGGCTTTCAAGAGGTCAGCAAAGCCATCATCAGCATCTGCCAGAGCCAGAACATCCCCTCAGCTCTGAGCAGGTTCCAAGAGGTGGTGGAGGGCACTGAGGGGAGAAGGATCCTCTCTGCAAGTGATGTAAGCTACTGGGTCTCGGAGCAAAGCAAAGACCTCTCATGCATCAACAAACACCTCCACACACTGCTGGAGCAGCTCAGCCCTCTGAAGTCTGAGCTGGCAGAGTCAAAGAAGGAGAAGGATGAGCTGCAGAAGCAGGTGGAGGACTTTGCTCAGCTGCTTCAGGTGGAGAAGGAGACCCAAGCACGGCAGAGGAAGGAGGCTGAACAGAGCCTAGAAGTAAAGAACAAAGAGCGTTTGGAGGCTGTAGCCAAGCTGGAGCAGGACAAGGATGATCTACGGAGAGGTACAGTGCTGTCTGCTGTCCCCTGCACCCCTTCCCAGGTCTGGGGGTATTTGCAGGAGGCAGCAGCCTGCAGTCAAATCTTGGTTCCAGCACCACGAGCAGGGCTTTGGCCACTAGTTTTGCTAGGTCCTGCATCAGTGGTGAGAAAATGCTCCCTGTAGGGTCATTACATAGTTTTCAGATGTCTGGCATGGCTGAGACAAGGGGACGAGCCATGCTGTGGGTTTACCTGGCCCTTTATCCGTGCATTGACAGCAGCTGCTGGAGTAGATGAAGGCTCCTCCACTGGCATCACTGGCTTTCCTGATGTCCTCATCACCTCCCAGCTTCTGCTGCTGCTTCTCCATTCCCATCATCTCATTTTGCACCACTGCAAGCTCCACATACTCTCTGTGTCCCATCTCTGCAGCATTTCACATGTTGGCAGCTGTTCCCTGCTGGGAGCCTAACCCCCAGCAGTGGGAGCTGCTTGCCCTCATCATCTCACTGCCTCCTCCCTGCTGAAGCACAGCATGATACAATTACTGGGTGAAAAGATGCTTTGGCACAGTCATTTTCTGCCTCTTTGTTTTAATTTCTTTGAGGAGCTGTTTAATGTTTAGTAGTCTTTTGTGCTGATTTAGGAGCTGCTCTGCTGGAAGAGCGAATCTCTGCCCTAAAGGAAGCACTGGCCATGAAGCAGGCTGCTGTGCAGGAGCTGGGTAAGAACCTGGGGTGCTCATCCAGTTGGCACATCTCTCCCCGAGTCTGGCTCTGATCTCACACATTTTTCACCCATGTAACTCCTGGCTCTCCCAGAATCTGTTGGGTTAGACCTAGTGGGAATGAAAGGATGACATGACCTCACTGCAGTGCCCAAACATCATCCAGCACCAGGGTGGGTTGGTACTGGTGCTGGCTGAGATTTGGGGTTCCCTGGGACACCAAGAGCCCTGCTGCCATCCCTCTCCAGCACTTGCAGAGGCTGTAGGGCCCCTAAAGACACCTCCTGGCTTGGGAGCATCTTCCTATTCTGCCCAGCCTGTGCCACAGTTGCTGTGCCTCCCCAGAGGCAACCAAGCAAACTTTGCTGGAGGACCTGAAGACTGCGATGGTGGCCAGGAGCCGGGTGCTGGAGCTGGAGGAGGAGGTGCAGCTGCTCACCAGACAGCGGGACAGCCTGGGCCAGGAGCTGAGTGCAGTCACTACCCAGCTGGAGAAGGAGAAGGCCAAAGTGGAGAGCACACTGAGGCACGAGAAGGTATGAATAGAGCTCTATGGAGCTCTCCAGTTGTGACCACAACCTCTCACTGCCATGGGTGCTGCTTCTCCCTGGCACTGGCATCAGGGCAGCAGCAGCCTCCAGCAGGCTCACCTCCCTGCACAGTCCCTGCAGGCCAAGCAGAGCACCCTGCTGCAGCAGCTGGACAGCCTGGACCAGAAGCGTGAGGAGCTGCAAGCTAGCCTGGGGGAGGCTGAGGAGAACAGAGCCCGGATGGCAGAGCAGCTGCAGGAGAGCCAGAAGCAGAAGGAGCAGAGCATCCACCAGCTACGAGTGCAGCAGGTACCCAGCATTTGTCAGGGGAGCAGCCAGGACAGGACACAGCTGTGCCACAGGGCTCCCAGGAGCCACCTCTGCCCCATCTCACACTTGTGGGCAGTTCTCCCAGGACAGTGGCTCTGACAGCTTATTTGACATTGCCACAGGGCCACTTCCACTTAGTGACCCTTCTCTCTCAGACTCATTTCACAGTTGCTCGAAGCAGCCTGTGCTTCAGACACACAGAGATCATTACAGATCATTACAGGGACGACGTTGTCCCTCTGTTTGGGGATTTCCTTATCCCATTAAGGACAGGCTTCCCCAGACTGTACCATAATGAGGTTTGGGAAGGTGCCCCCAAAACTCACCCATCTGTTGTGTTCCCACAGGAGTTGCTGGACACGTTGCAGCAGGAGAAGCTGAGCCTGGAGCAGTGCATCTCCAAGCTACGGGAGAATGTCTCTGGGCTGGAGGAGCAGACAAAGGAGCTGAAGGAGCGGGAGAAACTCCTGGTGTTCTTCCCTGAGCTCCACATCCCCGTTGAGACACAGTTTGAGAGTAAGGCACAGGGCAGCAGGCAGCAGTGCCTGCTTTTGCAGCAGCAGGCTTGTACCTCTGGGGTCTCCTGGAGCTCAGGCGGAATCCTGTCAGCCCTGAGCACATTGGTGTCACTTGTGTAACAGTCTGTCCTCCTGACATGAGTCAGTTGCAGCTGGGAAGGGCTCAGTCCCTGTGAGGCACTAAGCTGCTACCATCTTAACCTGATTCTTTATGTGGGTGCTGTGTCCCACATCTGGCACAAAAGCAGGGCAAGGACTTGGACATGGCTGCATTTGTCCTTGCTGTTTCAAATGACAGATTGGGGTCCCAGCTGCCACTTCCAGGGTCGTGCTGTTGTTCTCCAGTTCAGGAAGGTTCATTTCCAGCAGCTATCGCCTTGCTCAAGAGGGAAGACAGAAGAGCAAATGGTCCCAGGGAGCAGGGACAGGCTCTGCTGCCAGCACCTCTGTGCTGGTAGTGTGTTGAGTCTGGGATTGACATGAAGTGCCACATTTCATTTGCAGGCACTGGGAACATCACTGAAGACATGGAGAAGCAGCTGCAGGCCAACCACATCAGGATCGGTGTGCTGGAGCAGGAGAACATGAGGCTCATGGCTGCGCTGGCCAAGGTGAAGGCAGCAGCTCAGCAGGGCGTGCTGCAGGTGAGCTGGGGGGCTGGCAGGATGGGGTACACTGTGTGCCCCAGGGCCACCCTGCAAACCCTGTCCCACAACCCCTGGGGATCATTTCCTTGGCCGTGCACTTAAAGGAGGTAAAAAAAGTCTCCCAGGAGAGGAAGGCTGTGGTGCTCCTTATGCAGCATTGCCTGTGGCTCCGGATCTGCTTCTCGTGGGGCTGAGCAGGACAAAGCCCAGCTCCCTGGTTCTGTGGTGTCTCTCCAGAGATCAGTCTGGTTGGACCAGCAGCAGTAAGCTGCTTTGCTGAGGTGCCCGGGGCTGGTTCCCAGCTTCCTTACATCAGCCCTCGTGGCTGCTGTGCCTCCGTTTCGCCACTACCTGCTCAGCAGTGAAATCCACCCACGGCAGAAGCCAAGATAAGCAATCATAGAGCCAAACACAGGAGTTTCACCTCCTCTCTCTTCCCCAGCACATCCCACAGACCCAGCTGTGGACTCAGCTCAGCAGTCAACGTGGAGGGGAGGCTGCAGGGTGAGTGGGAGCACAGAGGACAGCACTGGGGGGGCTTCCACTTCTTACCCCCTTTCAACCTCTTCCACTTCTCCCCTCCACAGACCCCCGAGCAGCCAAGGCAGCGGAGATGGCACAGGATCACAAAGAGCCACCAGCAAGGCCTGGCAGCGATCTGGGGGCAGCCAGCAACATCAGCTGCTCCCAGCAGAACCTGCACGTGAGGCCAGAGCCTGCATCACGCTGCCAGCAAAGGGCCTGGCGCTGGCTCCCCACAAGCCCAGAGGGAGCAGCAGTACAACGAGAGCACACCACATCTTGCACCGCAAATAGCTGCTTGGGTAACTGAGGAAGAGATGAAGCATTAATGAGCAGCACACAGCTACTCCCTTTATCCCTGCAGGACCTCGTTACCTGTTGCAAACATGAAGGTACATTCCCTTGGGAAACTCCGTCTGCCTGCCTGTTGTTCTGTGCCCAAGGAACAGTGTTGCTGAGTGGGTGTAACACTCATGGGCAGTGCTTCCACAGCATCTGGGAGGCTGAAAGAAGGCTTGGCTAACAGCCAGCCAGCAGCTGTTGCTTCACCTTGTTTGCTGCAGGACGGTGGCCGCAATAAACCTGTCTGCGCAGCTTCCCCTGCTGGCCCTCTGTTGAGCAATGTGAAGTGCAGGGCAGCGGAGTGCATGGGTTGGGCTGCTGTGTTCCCCTCCTCCCACAACACAGCAGCCCCAGCACCACTGTATAGTGTTGGTGACTGGAGTGGGTTCAGGTACAAGCACTGCTGGCAGCAAGAGGACCAGCATTCAAGCAAGGAGGCCTGGGGGAAATTTTCAGCAGGCAGAGATGGCTCTGAACAACGAGCAGAGCAGGGCTGGCGGCATTCCTGGCTACTGGAGTTCAGCTGCCTGTAGCTCAGCTGCTGCTGCAATCCGTGGCACGGCTCTGATCCTGACCAACTCAGAAGCACCCACACAATGCCTAAGCACAGCGAGGCTCAGGGAGCTGTTCCCAGGAGGCGGCTACACAGCTTTGAAGAGAACTCACAGGCTTAACTTGCCAGCATGGGCTGCAGCCTAGAAAGCTCTCCTGCGGCAGGGAAAAGTGGTCAGCAGGGCCAAGGACCGCACAACACAAAACACAGCAGCCTCTCTGAGCTCTGTATTTAATAACAACGGCCACAAGTAGTGCTGCAGCTCCAGCTGCCACATGGAACAAGAGCCCTTGCAGGCTCACAGCGAGTCCCCGAGCACTCTGTGTTCAGCTAACTCGTACTGTCCTTTCTAATAAGTTAGTATAAATAAGGTGGTCCATCCTCCCCCCCACTCCCACCCATCCCTCAGCTATGGCAGAGCCCCAGGTGCAGGCGGGCTCCCAGCCTGGTGCTGCCCACCTGTTGCAGCTACAGGCAAATAGAAAAGACTTAGAAAAAATGATGAGCAGGGAGAGGGAACAGCCAGACCTGCGCTCTTCCCTTCAGTACCTGCAGACTCCACCGACAGCCTCAGTGGCCCCTCCCCAGTTATACCCACGAGTGCTTTCCCTGGCACCCATCCCCCAGCCATTTGGCTAATGCCCAGCCATGCCCCTGGCCCCTCTACTCACACCAAGCAGGGAGAACCCCCCAGAGTCTTCACTCTCCTAAGGGCCAGGCTCTGCCTGGTGCTGCAAAGGGCATGGCTGCGCTGAGCCTTGCTCCAGTTCCAAGCACAGCTCACCCCACGCCTGCCCTGTTCTTCCCCAGCTCTTCCCAGAGCAGCCATGGGTCCGTCTGTCCCTGGAGCACGTCCGTTGGGCCGACTAGCTCTCTCCACAGCAGTTCCCTGCAAGGGAGAAGGATGAGGGGGTGTCACACAGGGGTCACAAGAGCAGAGCAGCCTGTGGCTGGCAACACTTCCTCCCAGCCCTCGTCCTGGCCTGAACACGCTCCCCAGAGGGTGAACTGAGGTGCAGGATGTGTGGGGACCCATCAGGATCCCCCAGTCCTAGAGCTGCTCTCACCTAGGATGTTATGCTTGCAGAGTGGGCAGGTCTGCTGCAGGAGGAGCCAGGGGTCCACACAGTCCCGGTGAAACTCGTGGGAACATGGCAGCACGCGCAGCCACTGCAGGGAGAGAAGCAGGTGGGACACGTGAGCCACGAGGAGCAGGCAATCTGCCCCCTGCCCGCAGAGGGGGGCAGCCCCCAACCACACGTCCCTCACATGTGGACACCCCCGCCCTGGTGAAGCACGAGAAGGCTCAGCCCCACAGAACAGAGCCAAGGGGTGGCGTTAGCACGCGTGGCCCCAAATCGTCACTGGGACCAACCCCACCAGTCTGACCTGGCTCTTGCTGAACTGGTCCAGGCACACGGCACAGCTGTCTATCTCACAGGCCCGGCTCCGCAGCGCCTTGCCAGGATTGTACCGCCGGGTCTTCAGGGCCAACAGCCGCCGCCGAATGAGCTGCTTCAGGTCCAGCTGGAGACGCAGAGCGGGAGGTGAGGCGAAACGAGCGGAGCGTACAATCATGTTGGTTGGAAGGGATCCATTAGAACATCAAGTCCATCAACTAACACTACAGTTCCAACACTCAGCTATGTCCTTAAGTGCTGTGCCACACATCCCTTAAATACCTACCAAATGCTTTCAATATCTCCAAGAGATAGTGACTGCTGCCTCCCCGGGCAGCCCTTCCCACACCTAACCACCCTTTTTGTGAATAAACTTATCCTCGCATCCAACCTCAACCTCCCCTGGTGCAATCCGAGCCCGCTGCCTCACGTCCCATCTACACTTCACGTGAGAGAAAGAAAACGACGCCCTCCTTGCCGCAACCTCCTTTCAGGAAGTTCCAGAGAACAACGAGGTCTCCCCTCATCCTCCTTTCCCCCAAACAAAACAGTCCCCTCTCCCCACGTCCCACCTCAGCATCCCGCTCCGACAGGCCTTGCCGTGACTGCCGCTGCGCCTGCACGATCACCCCCGTGCAGAGGAGCAGAGCGACGAGCAGGATGGTGTTCCACAGCTGCTGCAGGTACTTCTGCAGGAACAGCACCGCCAGGCGCTCAGGGGAGAGAGGGAGACTTTTGCTTCACCCCCAGCCTCACCCCCAGCTGCGGTGACACCGAGGAGTGGCCATGGGGACACCTGTGACGCACCTGGACCTGCGAGCTGTTCTCCCCGGTGCAGATGACACCCTGCCACTCGCCGTAGAGGCCCCCTCGGGACAGGCCACAGGTGGACCACAGGGTGAGCGTCACCCCCTGCAAGGCAGGACACCGCGTCACCACAACAGCATGTTGCAGCACAGGAGGCAGGACTGAGAGACACCGGCAGCTCCAACAGCCCTTGCAGAGCTGGCTCCTGCTCCTTGCAGGTTTCCCCGCTGCTGGGCATGGCCATGCCTCTGTCCTCATACCCAAACAGAGGAGATGGAGGACTTACATACCAGGTTCTCCAGCAGCACCGCCTGGTATGTGATCTTCGCTGTCGCCCGTAGTCCTCTATGAGCAAGAGGCACAAAGAGCATCAGCCACGTGCAGCATCCCCAGCACCCAGCAGCCCTATTCCTGCTGGGCACTGAGGGAGGCCGCTCCTAAGACGTGTACAAAGACAGAGGGACACACAGAGGAAATGGCAGTGACATTTTCCACCCAGTCCTCTCAGCAACTACACAGAGATCACATCCCTGCTCCGTGCCTGTTTCCCAATCAGTGAAGCCACCACACATGCCCCTGCTCCCACGCCAAGCTGAACGTGCCAGACACCTTCCGAGCCCCTTCTGCCTCCCCATATTGCATGAGTGCTGGCTGTGCTCTGCTGCCCACTGCACAAATCAGACTGCTGCAAGGGAATGCTCACCGCAGCAGTGCTCCCAGCAGCCTGGTGACGTTGTCCGAGGATTGGATCACGATGACGGGCTTGGCAAGGAGCTGGGAGACATCCAGCTGCACCAGACAGAAAAGCAACAGCTGTGAGTGGGGCAGGTGCCCAGTGTGCTAGGAGGACTGCAGGGCTCTCCTACCTCTCGGATCGCATTCTGGTTCAGTGCCAGGATGAGCAGGGCTGAGGCCCCCAGCACCAGGGCTCGCTTCATCTGCAGGGACAGAAGGCTCAGCACAGCGGGCTGGCACTGCCCACATCCCTGCTGAGCGCCCCAGAAGGTGCCTGTGGGTTGCTGATGGAGCTCTCACCTTGCTGACCACAGCAGCAGTGAAGGACTCCTCCTTGGCACTGCGAGGGCTGTCTGTTGGCTCCTCACCCACGGGCACCACCCCGATCCAGCTGTCAGCAGCACCCAGCTCCGGCTCCGCATCCCCCACCTGGACACATGGACAAGTCAGGGGCTGATGGCATTCCAAGGCACCTGGGCAGCAGGCAGGGTAAGGGGACAAGGCTGGCAGCAGGGGAGCTGTGAGGGGGGCACACGGAGGGGACGTACCGACATCACACCCCCAGCCGCCCCCATCCAGCCCCCACACCGCCTCCCATGGCTCCAAACGCTCCCAGCCCTCCCCTATACGCCCCCAATTCCCACCTTACCCCACCAACCCCAACCCCAGAGCTCACACGGGTCCCATCTCCCCCCGGTTCCAGCACTCCCCAGTTCCCCATATCGACCCCAAATACCTTCCCACACCCCACCTCCCCCAGCTCACCAACACCAGCCGCCCCCCGATCTCCTCTTCCCGCGGCTCCCCGCTGCCCGGCCCGCTCCCGCCTCCCAGCAGGGCCCCGTGCAGCGTGTAGGACCCGCCGGGACCCGCCGCCGTCCCGTCGCCGTCCCCGGCCGCGTCCCCCGGCCCCGACACGGCCACTTCCACGTGGGCGGAGGCCGCCGGTCCCGGCCCGGCCCGGCTCAGCGCCAGCAGCGGCGCCAGCAGAGCGGCACGCAGCGCCGCCATGCCTGCACGGAGCCGCCGCACAGCGCCCCCATGCGGCGGGGAGGTCCGAAGGGAAGGATGGAGGATGAGTGCTTTTGGACGGGGGGAGGGGAAAAGAGGATGGGATGAGGACCAAGAGGGAAAGCGGAGGGGGAGGACGCTCTGCTCTTCTTCCACGCTTTTAACTCAGCTGTTAAACACGACCGGGCTCAGTGCTGACATCGCATGCTCTCTGCTCCTTACTGAACGACAGGCTGGGATGGAGTAATGGAAATGGGGAGGAGACTGGGATGGGGGTTGAGAAGGGAAAGAGAACGTGAAGGGGAAATGGGAAGGATTTGGGATGGGAAGGATAAAGTAGAAAGTGGAAGGGATGGGGATGAGGTTGCTGATGGGTAGTGGAAAAGTGTGCATGGAATTGGATGGAGATGGAGATGAGAGAGAGGCATCGATACCAGCTGTGGGATGGAGATTAATCTGGGTGCAGGGACAGGTACTGGGACTGGGATGTGATTGGGAACCACCACAGGGAGCAGGGAAGTGACAGGGACCAAACCCACCACCGGCACTGGTAGAGCACCACGCATGGGGACAAGGCTGAAGGGAC